ACAGGGTGCCGATGGGTAGCAGAATTGGCAGATTTCTACTTCACAATCAAGTATTGACCGGGCAAGGAAAATATTGGTGCAGATTGTCTGTCTATAGATATGCAGATGTTTATGAAAGAATGTTCAGAGGAGATGTCGTGTGATGTGTTTGGAGCAGTTACACAGGCAGTGGAAAATCAGGATGAGTCCAGCGTGTCATGGTCCATGGGTGTCTCTGCCCAGTGTGCAGCTCTAACTACGGACACATCGAACATCCCGCTGACAACAGGACAGATCAAACAGGATCAGAGGAGTGATCCGACTAGTGGACCCGTGATTCAAACTGGCAGAACAAAAGCCATCAGGCCCAGCACTAAAACAACTCAGTCACCAAGGTGTAGACAGGACCACATCACTGGTACGGGATGGGTTTTACTGGCCCTATATGCAACGGGAAATAGAGGATTATGTCATAAGAAGATGTGTTTGTCGTGAGACAAGAACGCCACTCACTAACATCGTCACCACCCAGCCGTCTGAGCCGTCTCTGTTGATTTTCTTCACATTGACAAGTGTAAGGGTGGTTGTGAATACACTCTTGTCATCATCGACACTTTTTGCACACTTTACCCAAGCACACAGCACACCCTCCCCCAGAGGTATTTCGATCTTTCTGTAAGCAAACATATCCTGGTATAACAAACTCCTTGTATACATATTACATCTGTTTTTTCCTTAAATGCATCTACAAACCTCTTTAACTCCTGTCCTTTAGCTACCAAAATCCTAGAACTCCACTGGAGGATAAAAAACATTAAAAGTTTAAGTATCATCATCATCTTCTGTTCGGTCCCTGCCACGACTTCCAAATCAGGCAAACAGCAGCAGATAAAACCTTTAATGACTGCTCTATTTGGCTTCCCAGCAAGAATACACCATGATCAGGGCGGTGAATTTGAAAACCAGCTGTTTGCACAATTAAAAAAATACTGTGGGGTTGCCTGATCGAAAACTCCTCCCTCCCAAATAGAAGATGTGGAAAATGCGGGGGTGAGCATGAGATTGCTGATTGTAAGGAAAAGGTGATTAAATGTGGTTCCTGTGGTGGAGGACACATTGCTGGAAGTCGTGAATGTGAGCAATACAAGCAAGGTATGAGGGTGCAGCAATGCAGAGAGTTAAATAAAGGCGCATCTTATAGGTTGTATAGCAGAGGATTCAGAGGTGTTGAGTGAGCTTAATTTCTTGGCGTTTATTGTTGAGGTCCTGTGTATCATGAAGCAGACTGGAAATAACTGATGTAGTAAGAAGTGTGGTGCAGGCTGCAGAGAAGGTTCCTGGAATAACAGGGGTTGAGCCGTCAGTTCTCCACAGCTACTGTATGTGTCTACAAGAGACAGTGGAATGCTAGGAGTTTGGTAGCAAATGGACAGGAATTAAAGAGGTTTGTAGATGCACTGAGTTTTGTTATACATGTTATACATATGTTTTTGTTTACAGAAAGATCAAAATTCTTCTGGGGGAGGGTGAGTTGTGTTCGTTAGAGAGGGAATCCAGCACAGGAGAGTAAATGTAGAGTCAGAGCTTTATAAGAATGGTGCAGTAATAGAGGATCTTCTAGATAAATACTCTCTAGATGCTGAATGATAGTATGTCGACAAGATTTAAGGTTGGAAATGGGAGTCTGTCGTGCTTAGATTGAACTTTTGCATCAGCTGAGTTAGCTAGGTGTGGTGGCTGGGATCTCATGGATTGTTACACAATGGGGAGTGATCATTTTCCTATTTTAAGTCAGTTTGGAAGGGTTTTGCAGGTGGAGAGGGAAAGTATTGTGAGAGGGTTTAATTTTTCCAAAGCAAAGTGGGATAAGTTTAGAGAACAACTTTCAATAAACTTAGAAAT